AATGTTACTTTAACAAACCTACATAATATAAACATTTGAAATTAGAAGATAAATACATCCAGTGTTCTTGAAAGAGTGTAAAGTAATAATAATAAAAGAAAAAAAAAAAAAGAAAAAAAAGAAAAAAAAAAAAAAGAAAAAAAGAAAAAAAAAAAAGGCAAGAACGATTAACTACTAATTGATTAATTTAAAATTACAATTCTGGCCCTAAATAACTATTGACTATTTAGTTTATTACAATGCAAGAAAATGAAGTATTACCTGCTAATTTAGTGGACCCTTATGAAGTTCTATTTTTTTCATGAACACAAGACTTGTTAGCTGATGAAATGTTTGAAGATAACGATTATGATAGTGATGCTGATATTACAGACTTGACTAATAATACAAGTACTATTAATTTAAACGATGAAGAACAAACAGAATTAAATATCACAGCATCACTACAAGCAAATAAAGAAAAAACTAGAGAAGGAAAAAGAGGACGTGGAAGTAAAAAAGAAAATAATACAGTAATGGAACGAAAAGTTAAAATATCTACTCAATTACCTGCTCCTCCCAATTTTGATAATTTGAAACATAATGTACCATTTCACTCAAGTTTTATTAGATTACTATCAGCATTTCCTGATAATAATATTGCCCTGTATGGACTAATTAGATTATTTTTTTCACAATCTATTCTTGTTACAATATTAACAAATACTAATGAATACGCAAAATCAAAGAATGCTGGTGTAATTGGACGTTCTTGGTCACCTTTAACATTAGATAAATTGAAAATTTGGTTAGGAATCAATATATATGGGTGTAATTAAGTTACCATGTGTGACGGATTATTGGTCTGTTAATCCCAAGTATCCCAGACATAACATTACTCAAATGATATCAGTAATATGTTTCCAACAAATTAAACGGTATTTACATATTTCAGATATTAATTCTGAAAAACTTTATTGGTTTGACAAAGTCAAACCACTTGCTTCACATATTCGGAATATTAGCAAACAAATTTATGTATCAGGCTCACGTGTTGCAATTGATGAAATGATGATTAGATTTTCTGGACATAGTAAACATGCATTTAGAATGAAAAATAAACCTGTTTCAGAAGGTTATAAGATTATTTCATTGTGTGAAAAAGGTTATACTTATACATTTATGTTTGAATCACGTGTTGAATTAAATAAAGAAGTTCCAAATATCTTAGGTCTTAGCAAAACTGGATCACTTGTATCATATCTTGTTACACAATTATCTAATAGTCGAACATATGATATATATATGGACAACTATTTTGCAAGTATACCTCTCTTTAATTATTTGCAATCAAAGGTTATGGTGCTTGTGGCACAGTACGAATAAACTCAGCAATATTTCCTAAAGAATTAAAAGTTGAAAAATCTATTCATTTAAATTAGGATACTTTGGCTGAAGTTGTTGTGAATAATGTTTTAGTAATTTTTTGGATGAACAATGGTTTTGTTCATATGCTTTCAACTATTCATGGCATTAAAGGTAATAAGTGGAAAGTTTTAAGTGTACAAAGACGACCTCGAGAAACTAGTTCAAATGCAGCCAATGTGCAAAAAGTTTTTGGTGATAAAGTATATAAAGAAATTGTAATTCCAAAGGCTATTAATAATTATAACTATTTTATGAATGGAGCAGATATTGCTGACCAATATCGATCTTATTATAATTGTCAGCTTGCTGCTTCATGTACCTGGATGCTATTACTATTTTGGTTAATAGATACTGCGATAGTAAATTCATTTATTATTTATCAAAAACATGGTAACTTATTTTAATTTGATTCTAAACTATTAATAACTATGATGCTAATTAATAAATAAGGTTTTTGTTTTAAAAATGATCTTATATGACATAGTAATTACTATGTCTCATAAGATTACTTTCAAGACAAAGACCCCAAATTTTATTTTAATAGGTGGAACTCTTGCTCATCAGCAGTTTAGATTGCAATTAGCATGGGATTTTGTAAACGATACATTAAATAGTAGATGAAAAGTAGGTAATAAGCAATGGTTAAATAAGAACTCAGCCTCTATTGTAAGTAAATATTATAAACTTCCAGCCATACGCCTTTCTGGTACAAATCACTATCCTGAATAGAGAGGAAGCCAAAGCTGTGTAGCATGTGTTTGGTGTTGATGGGATGCAAAACAAAATGATAAAGATATAAATAAAAAAAATCCACCACAAAGTCAAATTTGGTGCAAAAAATCAATGTTGCACTTTGTTGCAATATATCTCGTCCTTCATGTTTTGAAAAATACCATACATATATTGAAAAACAATAACAATATATACCTTAGAATACAAACGCATTGTGGTTGTATATATCTAATATATATATATTGCATGTATGAACATGTATATATACGTATATATGTATTTTAAACATAAATATTGAATAAATTTTTTTATATGGATTAATACTTAAAGTAAAAATTTAGTAATATTTTAAAGGTTCAAACATATTTAAAAATTTTTTTAAATATTAATAACTTAATCATTTAATTTTATTTTATAAAAATCAGTCAATTTTAAATTATGCTAAATTTTTATAAAGTATAATTAATGTTTATAAT